TAACATTGCAATTTTTATGTTTTTTTTTTTTTTTTTTTTTTTTTTTTTTAATGTTTATTAAAGATTTGTAAAACTTAATAAGAGGTTAATAAAAAAAAATTGGTCTTCGGTATTAAAATTATTATTTTTTCTTTTTTTTTTTTAATATGAAAAAAAAAGAAAAAAGAAAGAAAGAAATTTTTCTTAACTATTACAAAAATAATTAATTTTGTGATCACTATGTGTGACTATGATTATCAAAAGTATTTAATTCAATTAAATTTGAGAATAATTATTAAGTTATAGCATTGAATAGACGTGAATAAATAAAGTAAAATACGTTCGTGCTTTTAATATTTTTAACATCTTATAAAAGATCTTATATATTTCATTTTCGTATTCGCATAGACTGGTGCGTGAAGTAATGGCTGTTAATGTAAATATGAGGGTTGGTATTCATACCGGACGAGTACTTTGCGGAGTTCTAGGCTTGAGGAAATGGCAATTCGATGTTTGGAGCAACGATGTTACTTTGGCTAATTACATGGAAAGCGGTGGAATACCAGGGTAAGTGTGAACATAAACTATTCTGTTTGTAATACGTATATCATCCTATTAAAAAATAATCCGACAGAGAGAGAGAGAGAGAGAGAGAGAGAGAGAGAGAGAGAGAGGGAGAGAGAAAGGGAGGAGAGAGAGAAAAAATTGACCCATTATAACTTCATGTAATATTAAAATGTTAAACTCTGTATTTGTTCTTTTTCTTTTTTCTTTATATCTCATTAGAAAATTAATTTCTTATTCGTAGAAATACGAAGATATAATATTTTCTCAATGATTAATTTTACATCAAATAAATTCTACTAATAGATATAATCTCGTCAAAATTTTATAAATATATCTTTACTGAATTATAAACTATATTTAAATTGTATTATCTATTAGAATAAGTTTAAATGTTTATTGTAATATAAATTATATCAATATATATTTATTAATATTAGATTAGATCGTATAAATTGTTGTGCGTTAAGCATGGGAAAAACAATTATAGAGTTACGGAGAATTAATAGTATAGGATAGCTACGTATAAGGAAAAAAATTTCGATATTATTTTGTTAATAAATTAAAGATAAAAATAAAAAATAAATAAATAAATAAATAAATATATATATATATATATATATATATATATATATATATATATATATATAAAGAGAAAAAGAAAAAAGAAAAAAGAAAAAAGAAAAACGAGGTCGATAGACTTTAGCCAGACACTTTTTCAGTCGAGTGCACATTACAAAAGAGACCTTGGATTGCTTGGGAGGATATTACGAGGTCGAGGAGGGACGTGGAGGAGAGAGGAACTCTTATTTGAAGGAGCACAACATCGAAACTTATTTAATCGTTCCTGGTGATACCTTTAAAGACAATGTACCTGCATCTGGCATAAAAAAAGGATTCACGATAAATGGAAACGTTTCGAAGGAAATGAGAGTTATGGGTCATGGATCGCAACATAGCAAACAAATCAAGTGAGGATAATGCATTTAAAAAGAAAAATATATATATATATTTTTTTTTAATTTTCTTTTCGAATAAACAATTACTATCTCGAATTAGTTTTTTTCTTAATTTCCCTTTTGCGTTGATACGTCGATCGATAAATTATTTATATTTTAATAGTCGCGCAGACAGTTAACATTTGACCGTAAATTTTGATTTCAAAAATGATATCGATATCGATTAGTATCGATTCCGTTTATCGAGATATATTAGTAAATACATTTTTAATTATGACTTTCCTTCTTTCTGTTTTTTTTTTCTTTTTTTCTTTTTTTTTTTTTCATTTAGTACAAAAACGAAACATTTTGCGTCGCTTATGTAAATTCGAAAGTTCGACCAGCGCGTGAAAATTTGTCCAGTAATATAAAAATATAACGAATTATTTAAATTATTGAAAATTTTATATGCAATGGATTTTATGAATTAGCATATAAACGTTATACCACGTCATTGTGTATTTTCGTAATTATAAAATGCATATCAACATCTTTCTGTCTGTGTATGTGTGTGTATTGAGTACAATTGTTATTGTTGTAATTATTGTTTCGAATAACACTTCTTTACGTACTTTTCTGTGCACTTAACAGATTAGGATTTGGCGAAAGTGTCGAATGTGAAAAAGATCCGGAAGACGAAGTAAATGAATATCTGATGAGAGCTATTGACGCAAGAAGCATCGACCGTCTCAGAGCTGAACATTGTACGCCTTTCATCTTGACGTTTCGAAGGCCCGATGTCGAAGAGAAGGTAAAAACGATAATCGGCTTAAAAAGATTGCTACTGATATTCTTTTTTCTTCCTTTTTCTTTTCCTTTTTTTTTTTTTCTTTTTTAACTTCGATATTACGAATTAATAGAACAGAGAAAGAAAGAGAGAGAGAGAGAGAGAGAGAGAGAGAGAGAGAGAGAGAAATTGGAAAGTTCAATTTCATTTATACAATTTTTTTTTCAATTTA